ATAAATAAATAAATAAATAAATAAATAAATAAATAAATAAATAAATAAATAAAATAAAAACCCGAAGGACTTTGTGTAGCTCAGTCCAGCCACTAATGCAAACACACAGGTGCATTCAGAGCGTCCTCATTATTCCATTAAATTGCATCTCTTTACAAATTATTTGTATGCATGGGGGTTTGTGATTCCAGACTGAGGCACTCTCTGTTCCAGTCTGAGCCACAAATTGTGGATGTCACTGTCTTGAAGCTGGAGGGTTTGCAGGCTGATTGCATTCTGATGAGTGGTGCTTGAGAAATAAACAGTTTTCCTTCGAACAAAGCACAAACTCCACAGGTCAGATGCATCGTCTCAAATGGAGAGTGAGTGCCAGGAGGCAACGATTCATTTTCATACGAAACATTAGACGCTGCATGGTTGTGTGTTCAGAAATAAGTCATTTAAAGTATTTTATTTAAGCTGGCACACTTTGCCTCCTTTGTCCTGAATGTGGGTCCTTCCCTTTGCTCATGACAAAAACTTTAAACTAATTAATTTGCCCACTTGTGGACAAAACTTAAATAAGTATTAGCATTTTGAAACCAACAGCAACCTTAATATTTGTTTTGATTAGATTAGTTTCACATACTTTATACTTATAAAAAAAAGCTAACTGTACATGTTTTCTTTTAACTGAGATGCTTACTTTATTCATACTCATCCAGACCTGGAAAATGCTAAATGTAAATTCCAGACTTCAAGAACCCTGTTAGTGTGAGACGATCCTGTGAACTGCTCTATTACCAGTAGAGGTCAGGCTTTTCACAGATTTGGAATATCGGGGACTTGTTGCAGATTTTATCTTAAAGTTATAGAAAATTAAATTTATAGAAGTGTGTGTGTGTGTGTGTGTGTCACATGAACACTTACGTGAGGGTCTGAGAATAGTTGTAGTGAGGAGTGACGCCAAGGAACTTTTGCACTTCCTCCATCACTGCTGCAGGGTCGCTTCTGAGCTGATGGCCATCGATGATCATCACCTGCAGAGACACATCCAAACCACAAAGTTGTCATTTTTTAATTTTTGGCGGCCACAAAACTTGGGAAAAAAACAACAAAAATGTTCCTATAAACAACAAATCTCAAAAACAATAACATAATTTATTACAGCGTTCGAAAGAGTACGAGTGTTGAGCAAATGTGCAGCAATTTGTTCCCGTGCTGTAACTACCTGATTAGGAGGGTAGTACGTCAGCCACCTTTCTAGGTGTGTAGCATACAGACCAGGGGTGAGACAGCGACTCTGCAGGGAGCGCAGTTCTGCAGGCGCTCCCCTTCCTGCACTGATGACATCATAGAAGGTGAACTGCAGGGCTGCACGGTCCTCGTGAGCTCTTTGATGCTGAAAACAGACACATAACAACTGAATAAGCTTCAAAGCACTTGCTATGGGTGGGGGAGTTTATCACGGAAAAACAATATAAACTTTTAGCAGCCAATTTCTGGATCATATGACATTTTCCTTGCTTAGATGCAGAGATAAAGACGGACAGTACGCATTTATTTAGACTTCTTAACTGTTTGGCAACAAGGGACTTAACGCAGAGGAAGACAGATGTTAGCAAAGATTATGACGAAGCAGTGAGCTGTGGAAAGTAAAAAGCATGGGCAGCCATGTTCCGTGTGCGTTTTCGCTCAGTGCTTACCTGATACCAGCTGTAGGCTCTGTCAGACGGGTTGATGAGCAGGRTGATGATCTTTGCTTTGGGCAGCAGGGCAGCAGTTCGCCGCGGGGTCTCCTCTGAGGGAAAGTAGTTGGCGCTCTTCTCAAACATGAAGTCTGTGCTAACGTTGGAGGGCACGGGGAAAAACTCCATGTACCTGAGACGAAACCGACACGGACTCAACACACCTCGTGCATYTATAAAGTACGCACGACTGCAGCTTTTGAGCACAGCTTCAAAGTCAAACACAGTTTCGAACAAAACATAAATAAAAATTAAATCCTGGAACTTTATCTGTGCTTGAAGTAGCTCGACATAAACTTAATGATGCTGCTTAAACAATATCCAGCACTGACTTTTCAGAGTCAAGTATTTACAGAATACTTTGGAGAAGGCACCAGCTGTGTCTGTCAGCTAAGTAACCCATTTATGGGTCAATTTAAGCAGCCATATGTCTGTTGGCTTACGTCTACAGGATTAAAACGTCGTTTTGGAGACGCTGCTGAGCCGTTTTCAACTGCTTAACGCATCACAGGAAGTCTGCRAGACAATGCACGGCAGCCTATAAGAGCCTCGCGAACTGAAGAAGGCCTGTTTGTTATTTTTT